CCAACATAGTGGGCTGCCCCAACTTTTAAATATGTGGAAATTACATATTCTAATACATTTAGAGATCCCATTTTATAAATCATAGAATAAGTTTGAACTGCTATCGTAGAATGAGGTCTCCGTGCACGGAGACCATGAGAGAAATTGAATTTTTTTTATACTTATGTTTTTGTGTTCATTTTCAAGCGCATTACGAGATATCAAATGAAATCGAAATATTACATTTTTAATATCGTTTTAAAGTACTCGCGACATAGTATTTTACGTCGTTAACGGTACGTGAAATGATCAATCATAGCAAATGTTATGGGACGTCAAAATAGACATTTTCAAACAATGTTTCGAAATTTTCGATAACAAGCTAACTTTAAAAATTCATCGACGATTGTATGATAATTGAATCAATAAATGTTTTACATTCTCTCGAAATTCATTTTGAGAACTATATCGTAGAGATATCGAATGATCTAAATAAATATCGAAAATAGTTAAACGGAGATTAAACGTATGTGTTAACAAATGCGTTTTTTCCTTTAAAAAAATCAATTATTTTTTTCTTTTTAATTCTTTTCTCTTCCAAATAAAACTTAATTTTTCAGTTTTAATGAAAAAGTTATTTGTAAATTAAAAAAATTGAAGAGAAAAGAATTAAAAATAATTATATATAGTGTGTTCTCCGTGCACGGAGGATTATTTAATTTTTATTTTCTGTACTTTTCCGTTATCCATTTTCATACGCTATGACCACGCCTTTTCAAATCAACTCCTTTACTTATATTATTATATTATATATATAGTGTAAGAGAGGAAATGTGAATCTATGTAACACGCAACTTTCCATACTTCCAGCCTTACTCCGTGCTGACCACTTTTATAAGTAAAATATATATATATATATATATTTCTTTTAGGAAAAAAATTTTAAAAATAAACATATTAACAAAAAATATTTCTAATATATGTAAAAATTACTTATATAAGTAAAAAAATTCGTTTAAAATTATTTAGAAGTAAAAAATAAAATAAAGTTATGAAAATTAAATGAAGAATATATAAATATTATTTAATTAAAATTGAAAATTTTACTTTATAAATAATTGGTTTTTTTATCAATTTATTTAAATTTCTTTTTAATTCTTTTCTCTTTCGAATAAAATTTATTTAATATTTTTTTTTCAAATTCTCTTGCCCTACCAATCTTGAAGTGACTATTGTATCATCCGAAGAATAGTCTGCTATTAGGGTTCTAATTCTTACACCAACAAGGGAGTTGGCCATCCAGTAAGTACCACTTCAAGTTATTTTACGTGCGAATCTGAGTTTGTTATTTAAATATTTTTGTATGTGGATATTCTCTTTCAATTTACAACTGCATGTGTTACTTTTGAACTACAAGTATAGCCTCTCGAATCGAAATTGTTAAAGAAAAGCATTTGCGAAATTCAATTTATAACTTATTTGCAATATCAGATAAAAAAAAATATCTTCATCTACATTAAACAAAAAATAATTAAAAATAAATTATCGTTGACATATATACAATCACAACATTCATTATACTTATTTATAAGAATAAAAATAAATTATCGTGACATAAAATATACAGTCGACCAAAAAATGAGAATTAAACAAACATTTCTTATTTCCAAATACTTTTTTGTACAATCTATAAATTCTAAGCTAATAAAATCAAAATAAATACAAAATTTGTGCAACGCACGAGACGCAGACTAGTGTTTCATATAAATTTATGAAAGCAAGAACTATTTGTTCCATTAAATATGTTTGTAATGTGCTGAGATATAATTTTAAACTCTAGACTTGTTATGTTGTCCGACATGAACTTCAACATCTCGTGTCCAACTTGGCCAGAGTCATCATTCGAACACAAGAGTAGTTGTCCGAACTTGTATTCGAGATTTTTTTTTTTTTCAGAATTTACCCCAAAAAATATGTCTAAATCATCCTTCTTGTGGTTGGTTTCACCAAGTTTGCAGCATGCATTCGTGCAATTAAAACCAAGGACGTTGATAATTTAATCCGGGACCAAACCAACATAAATTGATTTGATGGCATTCAACACGTTTGAGGTCCAAAAAATTGATTTTATTGTACGTGGGTCATGAGGTCCAAATTCTACAGTGTGGTTGTTAAGTAGTTTTGATTATATACGTGGAAGATTTATGACGTACTAGATAAGATTGAGAAATAAAAATATTCGATAAAATTTATTTAATATTAAGTAATTAATTTTCTTTACTCAGCGTCCGTCTGAGAGAAATTTTCATGAAATTTGTAGAGAAAATCATACCGTTATACAATAGATACATCCACAATTATTAACCAATTTCATATAGAATGACCAAATATGCCTCCTTAATATCATTTAATTCAATATTCTTTAGAAAAGGGCAATTTTGATATATTGTTTTATATGGTGTAAAAAATGACGGCACGAATAGGGACCAGTATATTTGCAATGGTCAGAAAATGAATTAAAATCTGTCCAAAATTGCTCCCAAACAGAGGTTTGATAAGATAATCTTAAAATACAAATATATACATATGTATGCAAGATGCAAATAGATATGATCTAATGAGTATCAAATGTCATTTTATAACAAGCATCGATGACATGACATATCAATTCATTTACGAATAACAATTTTAGGTCCCGTTTGGTAGGATTTTTTGCCCAAAAAAATTGATTTTTTTACCGTTATTTTACTATTCAAGCCGTAATTTTTGACTTCTTCTCTCACATGTAGACCCCACTTTTCTTCTAACGGTCAAAAAATCAATTCTCAAAATCCCTACCAAACGGGCCCTTAATTAAATTATGAGGTTTGTTATAAAATTATCCATCAACGAATTGATACATCATGTTTTCGATGCTTAGCATAAAATGAGCACATGTGCTCACTAGATTATTTCTTAATATACATGCGAGTTAAATTTTAAAAATATTATTTGTACAAGAGGAATCCTGGCAACAATTCCTCTGTTTTTTCCCCTTTTTTGAATTGGTCACTAAACTTTGGTTTTAATTTTTATTTGTCTATTGAATGAACAAAAATATTAATGTGATAGTGGTACGGATATTCCATCTTGCTAATATTATTTGTTGATGATATTAATATTTGTAGGTTTCAGAACATATTGTGGAGTAATATCAGAGAACTTGAAATCTGTCTATCATCTTGTAAACATCATAATCGTTACACATCAAAATGTCAATGACTCCGATGAGAAATATACAACAATCAATTGAGATTTTAGTGTTAAATTCAATGAACATAGACTTGCAGTGCAAGTTGACTGCCATTTAGAACCCAAGTGGGGTCCGTGGGGATCAGAGTTCGAAATATGAAAGCATTCATGTGCGGACACGAAATTCCTATTCCTAATCTACAGTACAATTGATTTGGACATCTAAAGCAAAAATAATTTTAATTAAATCTACTTTTAATCAACTTTTTAATTTTTAATTTGTTAAATATGACATTAATATTTAGCCCTATTTGATAGGGATTAAAACAAAATTTTTAGTAAATTTTGATAAAAAATTTTGGAAATGTGCGATTGAAAAATTGTAGAACCCATAAAATATAGGTTAAAATTGATTGTTTGATTTTGATTTAGATTAAAATTTGATTTAAATTGGTACCAAACATGATCTTACTTTTTTCCTTAGGAATTTTTAATTTGAACCGTGAATACGATCTTATACTTTTTTTTTCTTATTTTCAATATTAGTAATTGTTGACAGATTTTAATAAACTTACTTCCTATTTGGAAGAGATAAAAAATCAATTTTTTTAGTAAATTTTGATAAAAATTGATGGAATGTATGGTTGAAAAATTATAGATCCTATAAAATATGTGATTAAAATTAGCTATTGACTTTGACTTAAATTTTAATTAGATTTTTAGCGGTACCAAACAGGAGCTTAGTCTTTGTTTGCTTCTGTTAAAAAAATTAATTAAAATTTAAATCAAAGTCAATAATTAATTCTAATTATATATTTAAAATCCATAACTTTTTAATCACACATTCCCTTAATCTTTTTCTTTTCTTTTCTTTTTTTTTTTAAAAACAAAATTGGTTAACAATTATTATTATTATTTTTTTATCTAAACTAAATAGAGCTTAATGACCTGCAAAACAAAGAGACGTGCCCCGGACGTCCAATTACACTTCAATACTCATGTCAACCTTGAGTTGTTACCTCTTGGAGAAAACTTGCCAACATTTTAATAAGATTTATATTCTATGCACTTCATAGCGGATGATGTTAGAAGTTTAACAACGAGTTAAGACTCGAAGAATCCTTTTAACAGCTATTGCTAAATGCACGTCATTTTATAAATTATATGACGCATTAAACACAATAATATCATATTAAGACATCGATAGACGTCCAATTGCACGACATATCATCACCAATTTGGTCTACGTTCGGACTAAATTAGGCACTCTCAAGCACAAACGTTCAACATTCTAAAGTCATGCTCCAGCTTCGTAATGATGAACCTCTAGCGAAGTATTGTAAGATTTTTCAGATGCCACTTCGTTCGTTAAGAACAATTAGGATTTTCATAAAAATATGCCATTAACGCCTTGTCCAAGAGAGAGACCCAAACCCTTGTGAATTCATGATTAAAAAAATTAAAGAGTTCATGAGTTATTATCAAAGTACAATTTTCATGAATTGATCTAATACAACATTTGACTAAAACACGATATCGACGTGAAACCTTTAGCCCCTGTTTAGTATTTATTTAAATCGAATTTTAATTTAAGTCAAAGTCAAACAATCAATATTAATCATATTTTTTTTAGATCCCATAACTTTTTAATCACACATTTCAAAATTTTTATTAAAATTTATTAACAATCTAATTTTAAACCGAGGATCTTAAAATGAAAGTATTGTGAGTTCAAAAAGTTGAAACCGTTTAGAAATGGATGGCAGATGGGGATAAGGGTCCCAAATTTCCAGCCACCTGTGTGTGTACACAATAATCTCCTCTTGGTCTACATTCACGTTCTACAGTGCAAACGATTCGGACATCTCAATTTCCCGTACCACATCATTTTGTCTTTCTAGGCTCTCATAATTCAACGCCAAGAAATTATTTTAAGAATTTTCAAATAGGCCCAATTGAAACACTACAAAAAAACATTTTTTTTCTTTTTCAGCGCATAATCATACAACAATTAAAAGTTGTCCAACTTCGAACCACTTTTGCTGCTGCAGCTGCAGCTGCTCTCTAGGTCTTTCTGCTAAATTTTTATATATTTTGAAGTATATTAAGCTTTACTTTTTGTTTTTAATGAATTTAGCTTTTAATTGCTTGGTTTTGTTCAGTTAATTACAGCACTTTTTGAGTGTGAATGATCGGTTGAGTGATAAGATGGAGACTAGTGTACCAGCCCGACTTGCTGGCTCCGAGATTCATGGATTCCGAACTATGGAAGGTACAAGTAATATATCCACACATATAATTGTTACTGTGTGAAATTTATTTATTTATTTATTTATTTTGAGTATTTTGAATTTTTGATTCGTCTGGGAGTTTGATTTGGGTTAGTCTAATACTGAATTTTGGGAATTTAGAGTTTTTACTTTTTATTATTCTATGCTGACGTTAGTACTTGGAATTAGATATTGGGGAAG